GGGTTCTATCTGTAAGTTAGCCATGCCCTGACTTAGATCAGCACAGAGGTCGTTTCAGGGTTCTATCTGTAAGTTAGCCATGCCCTGACTTAGATAACACCAGATATCGTTTCTAGGTATCGATAAATCGATAAACAATCAAGGGATCGGAAAATGAAGTCTTTATCCTTCGTTCAGAGAAGGACAGACTCTTCACGCTCACATATCCACGTATCATGTGATGGATATCTTGTACGACAGCAATAGAGAGAAAATTCAGAGTCTGTTCTTACGGAAATTATTTGTGAATCTGCGACTTCCGTGTCCCTGTAGAAATATAAAAAACAGAACTAAAAAGCAAGAAAGGTGGCACAACGATAACATCTGTCTATATACTTTACTTTAATGAGACAAGGTCGTGGCCTTAGACTGGGGCGTGGCAAGGACCCACCAAGGGAAGGAAGGGATGAGTGTATTTGGTTTATTTGTGTATCATTATTCTATATTTTATATTGGGTCGTCCTATGGTCCTATGCTACTGGCCACAAATGAAACTGGATTTGTCGAGAGTTTTTCTACAGGTTCTTCCATTTTCCTCCCTCCACAAAAATCAACTCCTATAATTCCAATTCGAACACGGAACGAGGGCCACAGGTTTGTTAGCCACTGGCTGTTAAGTGCTACCCTCGTGAAAAAAGGACGTTTTTTAAGCAAAAGCAACAATGAATAAACTCATTAAACATTTGTCTGCGGCCGCCACTTACTGCTCTTTCTTCTTGTTCATATCTTTCTTCAAAGCGTTCAATTCATCAAACAGCTTGTCTGCCTCCAGCGCTGACATAAGATCCTAGAGTGGAAATCCATATGTCCGTGAAGAAGTTAACTAACGAATTTTTACAAATCAGTGCAATTTCTTACAAAGTTTTTCAAGGATATTTAGTTTGCACTCTAATAAACGATATCCATTAATGAGTTTAAAGGAAATTTAGACATTTTTAAAACATTTATTTGAAAATATACATAATGTCATGCTTGATAGCATGAGTTTATAAGTCGTTATGTTATCATTTTTACGTACATTGATCAGTAAGAAACAGCTGTGATCTTCAACAAGAAGGTTTTTTGCCAATTTATGCCACTGAATAACGATTTGAGCCACTCTGTAGAAACATCAAACACTACAATTACTTGATCCTGTTATACCTAAAAATTAAACTCTGTTGCTGGAGAAGCCAAGAGACCTACAGTCGAAAGAGCATATGCTGTCTAAGTGGAAGCTTGAGTGGTGTTCTCTGTTATAATGCATTGCTTCTCTCTGACTGCTGTCTGTTATCCGCGTGCGCGTGAGCTCCTGGACCCGCCATCTTACGTTGATTATTGGTTTGCTCCTATCTTTACTTGACCACTATAATGCGGTCAATGTCATGCCGAGTCCAGGAATAGTGTCAGTCAGTTGATCACTCGTACAATACCTTTTTTTGACCACTATACTACGGTCACTAGTTTGGCTTTTACTCTCATCGTGACTGTCCTTGCGTTCGTCCAGGATCACACTGCCATGGTACGTAAATGGTCGTTAAGAAAATTCATATTTCGCTCAATTTTAGTCATGATTAYTAAATAATTCTGGTCTAATAAATAAATTCTAGGCTATTTCAATTAAACCAATTCTGGTCTATTATTTTGGTAGGTTATTGTGGTGCAAGAGGTTGTCATCAATTAAAGCCATATCAGTAAATATACCACTTGCATGATAGCGCTATACATGTATCAAGAGTTGCACGCTACTGCTCTACATGGGTTGTAATAGATGTATAATATTTAATTAAAGTTGTGCTTAAAATTACGATTAAAACATAGCAATTTTTACAACCATGATCCTATTTTTGACCCCTTGAGCATACGCTTACGGTAGTAGCGTGGAACTCTTGATGCATGTATATCATCTGCCACTGCTGACCAGAATTCCTTGCCCGCTTCTTTTGCCAAATCGTGTAGCATTCTGGGAGTTGTAGTATAGGAGAATTTCGAACAGCTAGGGCTGATGAACAGGTTGTTATGGTTGTCATGAAATATATGGATTGCAATTTCCGAAGCATGTTTAATACCTCAGCAAATATCTTTGAAAGCAGTATAATTTCTCTGCCTTTTACTCTTACAGGAGTAATAAACTATTAGGATAATATCAAAGGATATTTGGTTAACAGCTCCATGCACAAGGCTTCTGACGTCATGAAGACTGGATAAGACATTAAGAACTCGAGAAGAAAACTGTCCGCTATACATAAACAAAAAAATGCAAACATAAGGCTCATTCAGTGTCTTTTTTCGAGACTCCATGCAGCTTAGGATCATAGCTGAAGAACGTGCTAGCTTATCACTGGTATGCTAGGTATTATTTATTAGAAAATATATACAGAAATTCGAATTTCTTACTTTAATACGCGCCAAAGTATGATGGACCACATATAATGTATACGCATACTTCTATGCACGGGCTTTTTGCTGCCAAACGAGCCTGTACACGCCTTATTTGGTAAAACCAGCTGGCTTTGCAACAAAATGCATGAAATTATGTAAATGCAATATCACAGGTACGGTCGCGGTACACGCCGGGCTCTTCGCGCTGTAATGTTAGCAAAAATACCTTGCTTGGGGAATAACCGTTCAGATAATAGACCTCTTCGACTCTGACGTAATATTTTCCCATTTCAGACCACATGTCATTCTCTAGAGTATCAGTTCTTTGTTTAAGGTTTGCGCTCGGTTGCACATGAGAAGACACATGAATATGGATACAGCTCAAACAAAGAATCTTATTCTCAAGGGAATGACACGTGGTCTGAAATGGGACAACATTACGCTCGAGCGCTCCAGAGCCGATGAGGTCTATTGAGGTGGGGGCTGCGTAAGTCCTCAAAAAATATCAAGAAATCTCTCCTTTCAGAGCAGAAATTTTATATGAAACAAAAACAATGTGCGTGCAGGGGTTGCTGAAAAAAAAATCGTGCAACTTAAATTGCTGCAACCACCCATCAATTATCTAATGGCCCATCCCTTCCCAATGAGAATTAAGTACGAGCAAACCTTACTTTTGTTCTCCTCTTTGTTGTCGATGCGCATCTCCAGAATATGTTCAATCATCTTTTCTGGTGTCCCTGCCATGACAGAGTACCTGAAATAATATAACGCCAGGGCATAATCTACGATATGTCGTACCGTGTAAGAGCAGTAAGTCAGTATCGTGTCGTACCAACTGGAAAAGCCTTAGGACATGTCGTACCGTGTACGTGCCGGTCAGTATCGTATGTTACCCATTCAAAAAGCGCGAATGTAAAAGTCTTACTTTTGCTGAGTAGTTTTTGCTACAGGGCTCCTGTCACTAAAGTGGTTTCTTATTTTCACTTGTTTCAGCACAAGTACGTCTCTGCCTCGTTCCTTCATGCGTACGGTGTTCACTTCCACGTCCTGGTTAAAAGTTCGGTGAAATCAAAAGATTATTGAACAAAGTTTTCCAGCAAAAAAGTACAGGCGCTTTCCTTAGAAATTTCAGTGCGCACATAAAAACAAAACCCGACTCGAGCAACTCCGCTTTTTTTAATGTTCCCGGAAATATTATAAAGCTCGCTTTGATTGGCTGGCGAGTGTGCGCGTGCGCAAGTTGGTGAATCGTTTCATAGACTAACATAGGGAAGTCTACAAGTGAAAATGGTGCGTGCTGATTGGTTTGGACTTTTTCATGTTGTACACGAACCATACTCACCCTAAGAATCCTGTTAAAATTATCCTTGTCGACCTTCAGAAACTGGCAGTTATCCTCACATGTCTCGATGCTTGCGGTCCTGCCGTGACAAGTGTTACTTAATATAGCTATCGCAAAGCCTTGTGGGATCGATTTGCGAACAGCAAACTTTGTAAACAAAGGCTTCGGTTACAAGGAAAAGAAGAATGATACCAGTTCCACAAAATCAACCAGAATCGCTAGAATAAAAGATTACCTGGGAGCGTCGTTGACTAAGGCCAGTTTCCCAAAATCATCTCCATCGCGCAGCTGACAGACAACGCCCTTATAAACACAAAAACAAAACAACAGTTGACTTCGGGCCTAAAATACTTTTTGAAACGTAGAATTAATTGTGTTCCATTTAACACTTTTAAAGCAAAAAATGCTAATGGGTTTCCTGTGCATTTAATTGGCGGAAATTTTCCCGCTAAAATGCGCGCGCGCGCTCGCTCCCAGGTTCTTGCTAAAAAAATTTCCTTTGCAATGCTCACCTTGCCATACACCAGTACATTGACAGATCCTTTGAGTATGATATACCAAGAATTCCCTTCATCCCCTTGGTTAAATACTGAAAACATAATTTAGTTAACATTTAAAACTTGTGCGAAGCTTTTGCTTAGAGTTTAGAGAAATCCAGGTTAGAAAGGACCAGTTCCTACAAATACAAAGGTGCTAAGATAATTTTCTGTAAGCTTATATGTTCGCCTTCTTGTCAGACTCTTATAGTTTAGTGAAAATTTTTAATACTCTTTCAGTTTAAATATAATTATTTCTTTATCAATACGTATGTCACTTATCGCCGTTCAACGTAGAGGATAAAACAATGACTTTCGACTCTCATAAGAGAAGGATTCTATCGTTTTGTCCTCTGAATTAATGGATTGCGTTGGGAATATTCTGCAAGGGGCATGGTAGAACTAGGTTTAAAGTCATTCCATTGCCCTGTTTTAAGCTCTTAACTAAAAAATGCATAATTGCCTATTTTAAGAAACGTTTGACAATCCTTTACTTACACATGGTTCCCTTCTTCTTGCATGTTTCTAGCACAAAAACAGCAGCTAAATCTTTCTTAACCTAAGTGTTAAATAATGGAAACGAACTCGAGAAGAACCGTAAGTAACTATCAGAATTTAATTAATAATCTAAGTATATATTCCATCAGGTATGGGAATATAAACGTGAGGCATAGTATATGGGATATATCAGGTGTATAGGGGGATACACAGAGGAAGGAATATGGCCTTTGCTAGAGGCAAGTGAAAAACCTTTAGACTCACACTAATTATGCCTCTTGACTCCCTTGCCCTACGCTACCCCTCCTCCCTCCATCCCCCACCTCACATACACCTTTTAGTCTAAAATGTTAGCTTTGTGCCCTTGACTTACCATAGTAGATAGATTGGATAATGCTTTGATGTGTAGCAGTTCTTCATAGATAACGTCCAAGTCTTCTTGAGTTCTTTTGTCGGGGCTACAAAGAAAATAACGGGATTACAACTGATTCCAATACCAAAGAATACGCCTTTACGACGCACAAGAGAATTAGATGGGCTATAATATTCACCTCAGCCCCGCCTTCAGACACACATTTACGAGTCACTTACGCTACTCACTCTTTCCTCAGTGCCATTCTGAACATGGCGTCCGGCCCAACGTTACTCAGCATAATAAGGACGTCCTCAAACTCATCTTCCAGTTCCTCGCCTTCTAGGGGGATGTAACCTTCTTCATCGCCTTCATCCACCAGAAACTTGTAATAAAGGGTCTTGTCACGGAAGTCGTACTCGTGAGTAACTAAGAGAAACAGAAGTAGAGATAATCAAAAAGTAAATGAAATAGCAATGGTTATCGATACAATGGCATTTCTATGGCATTTCGTCGAGCATGCGCAGTATAAATGAACGGGCACTGGAGTCAAGAGTAGGATTAGTGCAATTCTTGCGATTAGGGGGTCTATAAATACAATCAAATGCATTTTTTTTTTTGTTCCTTTTCTATTAATCCGGTGCTCTCGTTATACTGACCATGTGCTAAAGTCCCTTCTTCAAGCAGCGCCTGCCACAGACTTAACGCGTGGAAGCGACTGTGAACAAGCCTGGATTTCTTGAGTAGCCAATCAATAGCCTCCGAGCCAACAAAGCATTTTGGGTATTCTTTCATGTTGTATTTGCGATCTCTAAGAAGTTTGGGCGCGGTGGTTTCCATTACACGACGAAAGACGAGACAAGCATGGACGAGAGAATGGGAGGAGTTCTGAAAAAAGGAAAGACGAGAATAAATAGGTAGATAGAAATTGAAACTTATATGCAAAATAATAAACTCGTAATTCGAGTACGGGACGAAATGGCAGCCATATTGATTGATAGGCTGCTCTATTTGTAAAGAAAAACGAAAAAAACTAAATACTAACAAAAGATCTTAACTTTGTTATAAATTTATTAATAAAATTAGAGTTTGAACAAGATACCTCTAAGAAATTCTAGGGATTTTCAAGAATTATTTAAGGGATATTACAGAAGTTTCCCTCTGATATTTTGTCACGATTTTCCTTTGTTTCTCCTTACCAAGAACCATTAGTGGGGAGTAGCACGAAGCCTCTAAAAAGCTCCCACAGAAATGATCTTATTTTTATATCGATGATAGAAAATAGCAATTTATACCTTGTTTGTGGTTTTTGCCTCATTTTTCTCCGACCTTTCTGGAACAGAGGGATCTAAAGTTCAAGTATAAAAGCAATTGATGTTAATCAGCCTAATAAAAGAAAGTGTGCAAGGGATCCTGGTAGGGGTAGTAAATGATGCTTAATGGCTGAAAATGAAAAATTAAAAACTGGAGCTTGGTATTTTGAACAGTTTAATAATTCAGTGCTGGGCTTCAATCAGCTGATTAAAGTCTTTGGAACTCATTATTTCCTCCAAATGGTAGCAAACACTAGCTACCTCGTGCTGTTAACCAGAAAACTTGCGATTCAACTGATGAATATTCCGCACGACAAAGGAAATTACGTCAAGATGTTGAAAAAATTTCAAAGTTCGACGTGCAGCTTCTTGTAAAGTTGACATGGAAAAACCTTCATAACTTCATGAAGCCGCACCCAAACTATGAAATTTTTTCGGGTTATTCAACATCTTACCCCATGTAGAATCAATGCGGAAAATATTGTCAGAAGAGTGATATACACTTTTTCAAAAAAATAGATAAATATGTAAATACCTTGTTCTTGTGTTCCATTAGGTGTAGCTGTGGTCTGAGTACGAAGGAATATAATCCCTTCAAGATACTGTTTGCTTCTCTAAAATCATAAAACCATGGTCAAGTATTGAAAATACAGAATTGTCAAACTCATCAGTAATTATTGTCTGAGGACAGTTTACTGGACTCGACATCATATGTGAATAAGGATTTAAGGTCTCTCCCTTGATTCGAGGGTTTTTCTCCGGGTTCTCTGGTTTGCGTCCGCAAATCCAATTCGATTTGTGAGTTAGCCGTACYCTGACTTAGATCAGTCCAGAGATTGTTCGATAAAACGTAAGGTTACTCTACCTCCCAAATTGTCTTGAAGTCCTTCTTCGCCACCATCAACAGCTCGCAATGAGCACTTGTTATCACGGTTGCATTTCTGAAATTATACATAGTATAATAATCAAACCGTGACGTAATTATCCCCTTCATATGAGATGGTAAAAGTATATTTGAGCTTACAATTTGAGGCGCTATCCATGTGAAGTAGAAGATGGCTAATTAAGGCTGCGTTCATAATGTATTTCACCTGCCCCCCATCCCTGCCATACATTATGAACGCAGCCTAATTATTGTATTCATATTTTAAACATGGTTATCGGAGCCAAAAAGGCACAGGAAATAGGCGATACATTACGGTAATAGTATTCGGATGTGGGTCTTAGAATGACCTATCAGCCTGCATCATTTGACACCAAGGCAACCTGTTTTGAAAACCTGAGTGTGAGTGGAAAAGCTACAAGTTGACCGCCATGCAAGTAATCTATACAGAAAATCTATATTTGCGAGTGTGATCATGATTAACACCTTGCATTTTACTATAATTAATAACATTTACTTTACTTTGACTACCAGGAAACGATCATTTTTGTGTTTACAATCTAGGAAATGGAGTTTCGCACCTTTGGACATCTGCTGTAGTTTCCTTTTGGAAAACTAGGTTTTTAGGTTTTTACTCTAATTTAAACGAACAAGTTTTTAGCTATTACTATAAAATACCTGTATTTTGTTATGCCAAAATATTTCTCGGAATCTACACTATTTCTGTACATCGACAAATCTGAAGTCAGTTGTCTTTCATACATTTTAATTACATTTTCTTTTGCTCTTGGGTCAATACGCCCAAATATAATAATTTGATATATGATGTTAGCATATACCAACTTTGTACTTCCTAAGACCGCGCGCGATCATTGGTTAATTGGAGGTGAATATTGTACGATATTCACCTCTGAATCTCGGAATATTGGGTCGGCAACAAAATGGCATCTGCCGGCAATCGTTTTGCTACAATTTCCGATGAGGAAATTGAAAAAAGTGAAAATAAATGCCATTCCTATCAATACTGAAAAGGCAACAAAGTATGGCCTAAACGTTTTGCTAAAAGTTTTGCGTGAATTTGTCACGCAAACTAAAAGTTTCTGTTTGTTTGTTTTTATTGAATTATTGTACTGATAAAAATAAGTTACTCTGTACACGAGTTGGTATATGCTAAAACAATTATTCGCTTCAGGCTCAGTGAGTATGGAGAATATTTACCTCGCCGCTCGAAGACTCGCGTCTCGGTAAACAATAGGGAGTTTTACATTTACGTTCACGGCAAACGTGAAACATCATGCAGTTGACCAGTGAAAAATTGTTGCAAATAGCTGAGAAGGAATCGCAAAAAAGTTCAAGTAGTAGAAAAACAAAAGAATTTGTCTATTTGTCTTTGGTAAGAAAGTTTGCAAGAGGTAAAGTTAAATACTGGAAAACGATGAAAACGTGGTCACGTTTGCCGTTTGCGGGGAGGAAAAAAAGTCAATCTAAAACTCTCTATTCCCCGATATTCACTTCGCCTTCGGCGAATAATTGCTAATTATTCTATTATAAAGTATAAACTAGTTTGACTTCTTTTCCCCTTATACAGAGCACACTCAGAGGACACTCAGAGAGTTAGTATGATTCAGTCAGTCAGCAGTTAATAGTTGATAGTAACTATTGTAATTCTACGCTCCAGTTCCAATAAAGCCACTTTCACAGGTGCAAGAAGTCGAGAATAAGAAACTAGTGATTTCTGTGGAGGGGGACACAGAACATATACAGTAAATAGTCTAACTCTCCATCGTAGGACGAAAATGTTTTTATAGAGAAAACATCTGATTAATTTATCAGCTTGAAAAATGACTGTCCGTATCTAYCTGTAATCCATGATGGCGGAACATTAACACGTATTACGTAACACGTACCTTGGACTGTCATCCAATACAGATTCACCGAAGACTTTACCAGGTCCAAGAGTACAGATGGTTACTGAATCCTTAAAAGAATAAAAAGATTTCAAACATTATTCTTCCTCATCATACTCCCTCTCATCATCAAGCACACTAAGTGTAGCACTGATACATCAAATCGAAATATGGCGACCAATTTGAATAACTATTGTTCTGCACTGCCTACCGCCTGGATAGCCTCGTGTTCACGTGGAAAAATCAAAGCGTTTTCACAYGTATCAGGCGCTAGTCAGTGGAGAACAATATATAGAGCGTTTTCACATAAACAATAGAAACTCCCGGAGGATAGAAAATGTATAGTTTTGGTACCCCATAATGGCCGCTGTAACGTCACGTGAAAATGCTCTATAAGCAAGTTTTTTTAGAAAAAACTAGTCCAAAAAATTAGGTTTTCATTTGTAATTTTATACGCGTATGTAGTTCATTTTAAAAGTACCTCTATTTTTCCTGTTTGTGATACATTAACATCTACTGTTCCTGATAATATAGCGTACCAGTTTGTCCCGACATCACCTTGACGAAATACTACAAAAAAGAGAAACCGGTTAGTGTCTGGAATATTTCTGAAGCGTTTATAATGCACAGGTCAGACACCGACCAAACACAAAAATTCCAAAAACCACGCGAATGATAGACGTATACATTACTCTACTTTCGCATGCCCCATAATGGTTTGCGCCTTGAGGGTAACCAACCAAAACATGTTTAATCTCTTCCTGTTTCTTACTATTTCACTTTTATATTTGGATATAGTAAACGAGGTATTTTCAACATTGTCTGATTTGCCTTCGGCAAAATAAGTGCGGTTTAATCCTCTGGTCTTTTAAATATAACCTTGAGATCGTTATGATGACCACAAAAGCCAAAGGAAATATAACGAGGAAATAGTAAGAAGCCTAACTGGAGTTTGAAATAATACATAATTTGACACATTTTGATCGCATGCAAAAATATTTCGAATTGCATTGCCGGTGCATGTCTTGAGCATTTTTTCTCATTTTTCAGAGCTCACTTTGGTATTAGTATAAAAAAGGCCCCGACGGGATTCGAACCCGTGATCTTTGGTTTACGAGACCAACGCCTTACCACTTGGCCACAAGGCCCACTCCTTTTAACTTAATGTAATCCTCAAGGCTAATCCTCAACAAGGGTATTAGTTAGTGACTCCGGAGTTCCCGCGTTTCTATTCCACGTTTTCTGCATATATTTCCCGTAATCCTTTGCGCGGTATATGTTTACCATTTGCCTAAAGCAGTGTGCCGTGCTTGTGTCCCGTGGTGTCAATTCGGTTAGTTTTTTGTACTGTTTTCCTTTTGATTTTCCTATCATGCATTGTAATTTTAGCCTTGGATTATTTTAGGTTTCGCCGGGCCTTTTCCCTAGCCTGTTTGTGACTGGTTTGTCTGACACAATAAACTTTAGCTGTACTTAAACTATGCCCGTGTAGAGCCAAATCGACACATAATCCTTTCGAACTAAACACGCTACTTCACAAATCTTTTAGGCCTTTATATGCTACAGCTTGGGTATAGTTGTCCAAAGCTTGTCCTTTGGCTTATTAAGCGTAATGATTAAATACAATATATAAAAAAACGTAACCAACCCAAATGCAAACAAAACCCAAAGCGCGCGAAAAATAATCTAAAATTAAACGTTTGCGATATTCCCCCCGGAATTTTTCTTGGGTATTTTAAGGTCGTTTTTGCTTTAACAGAGTAGAACTTAAAATTTGAAATTGGCTCCACTGGAAGCCTGCAATGGATTCGAAATTTAAAATGTTTTGACATATTTTGATCACATGTAAAAAATATTTCGAATTGCGTTGCCGGTGAGAATTTTTTCTCAATTTTCAGAGCTTACTTTGGCCTTAGTATAAAAAAAGGCCCCGACGGGATTCGAACCCGTGATCTTTGGTTTACGAGACCAACGCCTTACCACTTGGCCACAAGGCCTTTTTCTATTATTTAATATAATTGTAAATGTGAATGTTTTTTAAGCATTTATGTGCTATGCTACAGCTTGGGTATAGTTGTCCAAAGTTTGGTTCCTTAACCTAAGGGTTATGGTTATCTATAATATAACGCGACAAATGCATATGCAAAACAAAGTCCAAAACGCGCGAAAAAATGTAAACTAAACGTTTACGATATTCCCCCTCCTCCTCCGAATTTTTCTTGGTTATTTTAAGTTTGTTCTTGCTCTTGAGTAAACCAAAATTGTGTTAAATTTGATTGACAGCGATGAGAAATTCACGAAGTTCTACTTACAGACAATGCCTTCCTCAAGATCTTGGTAGTAACCATAGTAACATATCTGCTGCAATACTGTAGGGTGTAGTCTTTCAAATATTTTCATGTCCTATTTACATCAATGATAAGACAACTTAGTTAAGGCTCCATTCAAAAAGATAGCATAAGAGACAAACGGTTCAATATTCATGATCACACCCAGCAGCTGGACGTGATCCATCACTAACCTAAGTATCAGGCTCTTTTTGGGAGAGGGGGAAAGGAGAGGCCCTCCTTCTCCTCTTCCCCTCCTTGCCAGCCCCTTCCCCCCTCCCCTGGGCCTAATACTCAGGTTTTTCCTTTTCTAAAAGGTCCACTGATAGTCTGTGAGTCTCGATACCAAAACTTCCGGATACGACTGCATTTTTGGATTTTGGCGGGAAAGAAACTTCATTTCATCACGCCAAAGTGAAAATGACACATAGAACACCACAGTCAAATAAACGTTGCAGAGTTTTTCAAAAAAAAAAAAGAATAGACTTGAATGCGTTCAGTATACTCTGATTTATGATAAACTCGACAAAATTACTCGATTCTGATTGGACAAGAGGAGTACAATTAAATCTCAAATTGTACCATGTAGTTGCTCAATTTTGTTGAGTGTATTATAAACAAAAAAATCGCACAATCTTCCCGTACAATTCGGAATTAATAGATACTCGTGATGTTTTGAAAGTTTTCATATTTTCAAAACATCACTCGTACCCATAAATTCCTAATTGTATTCGAGATCGTGCGATTTCCTATACTAACACTGTATGAGGAGCAGAGAGAATAAAGCCATTCTATTTAACGAGTGTTTATTGACCTTAAGTCTGGCATACACGATGTCAATGTCTTCTCCTGTTCTATCTGCAGGCCTTTAAATAAATGAAACAATAGAGTTGGTCAGTGCAGCAAAAAATAGATAGACATTTCTGTCATTTTTCCTACTTGTTTTTTATGACTGTTACAATGCAAACATGGTTATCATTTTATTTTTATGCAATAATTTATGGCGAGTTCATTGGAATTCGAATGCTAAAAAGTATTGTTTGAAAACTTGTCCAACAAAAGTGGTATTTTAAGAATCGGGATACCAGATCAATAAATGACTTTAAAATCATTTTTCCAATCTTTTGACAAGCAAATGTTCCTGAGAAAACACTAAATAAAAGGCTCATGCCCTCTCTGATTCAAATTTTTTTTTTGTATTGATAAGACAACAAAAATTTTGAGCGAAAAGGCACGGTTCCCTGCTATACTAGCAGAGTCTCTTCTGTTTCTCTCCCTTCTTTCAAGGGAAAGCACGGCTGTCATCACAAAAAAAGACGAGCAAAATTGTTTTAGAAATCACTTTGTAGAAACTCACTGCCTACACGATTTAAGGGTAACAGAGTCAATAAGTGTCAAATTTTTGTGTAAATATGAAAGGTTATGTAGGCTTTGGTTCAAAATTGTTGGCCTGAATGCATTATTACATGTGATTATACAGTCAATTTGAAGAGACGAGCTATGAGGCAATTGAAGACAAACACCTTCACTAGCTCACTTGGGTAAACGAACTAAAGCTATGACTGAATGCAACTGATGAAATTTAGCTGTAATCCTCTTTTATCAAACTATTTAATCGAATTATTCACGATAAGAAAACATTCTAAATTTGTTTTGTCGAACACAAACAAGAGTAGTGTCTGAGTTTGTCAGTCAAACGTCGGTAAAACGAACGCCAAATGACTTAAAACTTGAAATTTGTGTCGCTTGTAAACCATCTCCTAGACTTTTGAATACAAGCCGACTAACTGGAAAAGATCTAGGATCTAATAATCTTGACTAAATAAAGAATTCATAACATGAACATAAAGGAATGCAGAGTGGTGGTGTACCTTTGCTCAAGACAAGCTATCCAGTCAGCCACCATCTTGTTTTTGGTCGTTCAACTTGATTACTTTCAAGTAATAACTCGATTGCTTTTAAGAATGTAAAATTTATCAAAAGCGAGCTTTACATCGTGGTATTCACTGTTTAACGGTATTAAAATGCTTTCTGCAGTAAGTGTTAAATGACCGTCTGAAAATTATTTTAAGCAAACAAAGTTGACAAGAAGAACAATAATAAATTCATCAGCGAGTTAATTGATTTTGAACCAATCAGAATAATTGGAATGGAAGACTCTCTGTCAATCAGGGTAAGGGAAAGCCCTTTGTCGGTTCTTTCAGAGTGAATCATAACTATGCGAGATTTTTTATTTGTTATAAAGTATTTCATGCATTTTCAAACAAGAACAGCTGGGGTAATTAACTTGCTGTAAAACAGGAGAAAAATTACATTTATTTTATCAAATTTACAGTAGTTAAAGATATATCTAGAGCAGTTTTCGCATGACTGTGAAAAGCTCAGTGCCGTAAGCGTGCCGTTCCGTGACCGTGATGTTTTCTAGAATTTTAGGCCCCTCAGAGCGTATTCGAAAATTTCCACTCTGGAGACCGTTTTCGAAAATTTCCGGATACGGATACAAAACTTTCCGGACACGTGTGGACGCAAGCCGTATCCGCAAAAAAAAATTTGCGGACACAAAAATTTCCGAATACACGTGGACGGGGCCTTAATTGACTGGGTTTTTTCCTCTTGCAATGTAATTGGTCTGGCAGTGCCGTGACCTTGGCGTGACCACGCCGTGTTTTTAAATGGCCCCTCTTTTTCCTTCTTCAAAGTTAGTCCAGTTGTTTGTCTTTTCGTATCAAGGTCATCAAATGCAAGGGACTGTAGACAAGATCAGATTGTCCTCACAGATCACATGACCCTAACCCCTTAAAGTGCCCCTAATGCCTAATTACAGACCTTATGTAAGTTGAAGATATATGCATAAAAATGCGAAAATCAAAAAGCTTTCTAAATTGGATGCATTCCTGATTTTTAAATGAGCTTTGAAAACGCGCCTTTTCATATAAGGCCGCGCGTGCGGGGGACTGGTGCGATTACGTAATCGGGGTGATACGTTCCAAAAGTGAAAGGCTTCCAAGTTGGATTCACTCGTACAATAAGTAAAAGCTCAATATTTCGGCATTTTTTCTTTCTTAAAACTTTTAAAAACAGCGCTCTTGACCCACAAAAAAAAAAGGTGTATCACGGTAAGTCTATACAATTTTTCAGGCTCCTTGAACGCGGTACTGCGGAAATTTCGAGAGGGTGAGTGGACACGAGAATTTTGCCAACTTTTTCGTGCCGTAAAAAATCAGTCAAAATCACATATTGAAGGGGTTGAGAACTATTGCATGGTGATGAAAGGGAGGGTGGTTAATTGTTGCCTCTACCTGAGGGGGTTAGGTTATGTTTGTAAAGCTTTCCATGCGATTTTGCCAACCCAGTTTTTCCATCCACCTCGGAATAGCCAATTATCACTTTCGCATTAGAGTTTCATCCTCTTCCCCAGAATAAAATGGCTTAATACAAGGACTCAAAAGCTGTGGTTATTTCGGCAATTTATTGAAATTACCAAGAAATTTGCTTTTACGTATTGACAATTTTTTTCACGAGACTACAATACAATCGACAATCTACCGTAATATCTAATGGAAAACGGTCCCTTCGATCAGTAATGGTACCACAAAGGGCTCCACTAACAGTTACATTAGTAAACTGTTAGAACCTGTAAGAACTGTTAGGGTGTTATCTCTCAGATGGTAATGTTCCAAAAGTAATCAATCAGTGAACCTCCTTAGAAGTTATACTGATAACGCATGCGCAGAAATAACCTAAGTAAACTAGAATATGGAATAGTGCTGAGCTGGACGATACTATTTTTTACGAGTTCATGATAGCGTTAATACAAATGTAGTGAACAGTCATTTTTAGAAATAAGCGAGTAATATTGATCTGGTGTCGGCAAAACTACCAAGAAAAAGTTGGTACAATTGATTGAGGCAGACATTGAATGGCATATATCTTTGGCATGTGTGTAGATTTAGAAAAGATTGTTTTGCTTCCTCAGAAAGTCTTTCTTCCATTTAGGGAGTTCCATGTAGTTCTCTTTGCTCATCTTGAACACATCCTCGAACTGATCGTCAGTCAAGTACATCTATAGGACGAAAAATAACAACATATTATGCATACCTTAAACAAAACCTCTAAATATAGCCCACTCACGTTGCAAGGCAGCCATATTTGTGTACCAAACGATAGAAACTTAACAAAATAGAGTTCAATTCCCGAAGGATAGAAAACTATATTGTTTTGGTACACAAATATGGCTGCGGTCACGTCACGTCACAAATTCTCTGATGGTTGATTTATGGTATTGCTAAAAAAGCTATTTTTGAATTCAACCAGGATGCAAATATATAAAACCCATTTATGGCCAACGAATATTTGGCCTATAAAGGAGATAACTCGTACTTCTCTTTTTTCAACTTTGACTCCATATGGCAGTTCATCTATTGGTACTTGAAGCTCAGCCAACGAGAATTTACCCTCGGGTACTTCTTCTTCGTGTTCCTTTAACAGAATATGCATTTTTATTACACATTTAGACCGAAGTTATGTTAAAATCTATAATGTATTGTATGAACTGCTTCAAAAACTTAGGTATAATTACCTTTGGCTGAATAGACCAGTTTCGAGTTCCAAATTACCGCTGTGTTCCTTGATTACGGACTCATTTGCACAGGGTTAGCCTCGTATCAGTGTTTAAATATTCACAAATACCACCAGTAAGGTAAAGAATGCACAACTTCAACAGAGCAAACATTTTGAAACTCGATTGACCTTGATTGGAACACGTTAATATATTCTGCACAAACTCGAGGCTAACTCTGTGCAAATGAGTCTGTAATCAAGAAACACAGCGGTAATTTGGAATTCGAAAGGGGTCTATTAGAGCAAACATATGTCGCAAACATGGACTTTTATACATCGCGCATGACATTGATGTACACGTCACTGCCATGCGCAGTGAGTTTTTAAAAAAAGGATCCCCAAGTTGAAGACAGCATGCCCAACTCAAGACAGGCTAGGGGCACACAACCACGATATTTTAAGGGTCGTAAATGATTTGAGTGATAATGACCTTGATGAGGCTCTAGACATCTAATGCACCTTAATCTGATAAATTCGTCTTCATTAGTATTCTTTATTTAAATACTAACGAAGAGGACTTTATGGGATTAAAGGTCCATGCACGTGACGTGTATTGTCCTCCAGTTGGTTCAAAGGTTCATTTATTATGCATGAGGTTTCGAAGAGTGTTGAATGCATGGTCGAGTTAAGAGGTCATTTGTAAAGTCAATGTCAGTCCGTCAAACCATATAAATATGACAGTCAATTCTCTACATACCAATGAAACAGCGTTACGATCCATGGCCAACCGCTTGTGATCTTCAGCAGACATAGTTTCTGTGCGGACGTCCTCCCAGACACCAAAGTAGGCTTTGAAACTGTCTGGCTCTGCTCCTTGGCTTATAACGCAAATGTTCGCATCTGTATCGGTTCGTGGAGTAGGGTCATTTCTGATGAATTCCTTTTGAACGAAACAATTTTTAAAATTAAAAACGTATACTTTGATAAAGTTAAGAAACCATTCTCAGTCAATTATGCATTCCTGGTGTCATATTGCGGGTAGAGAAAGAAATGAAGGAAATACCTGGACGAATTTGATCGTGTCTTCCTTCTCGTCTCGTCTAGCGCCCTTTCCGACCCAGATGTACAAACGATAATAGGTATCCAAAAAGAATACATCATCGGGGATCAAATCATCTTGATCAAATTCGTACACTTCCTCGACTTGAAGAGATCCCATGATGTTGTAACAGTGGAATAACCTGGGTTCATGCTTCGTGTTGCAATCCTAGTAAAAGAAGAATGTTAAAAAACGTAAAAACATCGCTAAAAAATGAGCTATTGCTTTTTGTATTGCCAGTGAGAGTTGAGTTAAAACGTGCGTAAAGAAATCCTTTATTTCACGGGAATAATTAAAATTGGGGATCGGTACTGGGGAAATAATTCAAATATATCATGAATATGATCAACAAGTAATCGAATGATAATTTTTTGTGTTAAATACCACCAATAGAGCGTTTTCACTCATATCACGTGAAACACATAAAATAAGAGTTCAATCCCCCGAGGCTCGAACATGTTTTGTTTTGGTACACCAACATAGCCGCTGTGACGTCACTTAAAAACGCTCTATATGTGACAGCGATGACGTAATCATATTAACGGAGGACCTACTTGAAGATTTGGAATCAGTTCAGTGGGATAGCTTTTCTCTCCACCAAGTGCATTCCAGAAGTCAGCTCTTTCTTCTCCCTCTCGGTAGAAGGTGTAGTTACCAGAAGCTCCTCGTTTTGGGTCCAGTTTAGCAGCAGCCTCTTGAACAACTTTACGCTCATCTCCAGTACTTCCCTTCCCGTACCACAAGAACATTCCTTTTCTGCTGTCCAGGATGAAACAATCGTTACTGTTGAGGTTGGAAGCGTCAACATCGACCTGAAATGAAAGTAAGAGTTATATTGTGCAATGAATGTAGAGCGAAGGGAGCTATCTTTTGTTAAATGGCACCAACATGGCCGCGATGACGTAACTTGCAATCGAAGAATGCTTTTTTTGTCTACTTACCTCTACGACTCTTGCATCGTTCTCTTTCTTGGCTCTTACGTGGTACAGATGGTCTTGGTTGCCATTGAGACGCTAAAAGATAATGTTGGAACATTTAAATAAATGCCGCTAAAATAAAAATTCCTCCCTCCCCTCTCACTGTCAAAGAATCTGGCTACAAGACACTACTCTTCTTTAAACCAGTGGCTTCGCCAGATTATAAACTTCATGAACGTAACCGAGTTTAAGGCCGTGGGCGTTTTGGCAGGAAAGTTCTCACACAGGAATTACGTCACTATGAGCATATGGAAATAAAATAGATTTTTCTCTCGCACATTTTCGTGTTAAAAGTAAGAAATTGAATAGAAATCAATTTTAGAAGGAGCCAGGGCAAATAGAGGAATGATTTTCTTACCTCTTGCTTGACAAGAATGTATCCATTAAAGATGCGCATGAAGTGTGGAGGTTCCTTGCCCTCAATAACACGTTCCTGGAGATTTAAAGAAATTCATTTTTGTTACAGTATTTTACATTGCCCAGTTTCCGTATCGTGGGAGTCCTTGGTAGAAAGAATTTAAGTCGTGACGTATTTCCAGGTCCAACGGCGTCCTCTATTTTCAGATAGAGGGCTCAGAAAAAGCACTAAGATAAAGCAAAAATAATTTAACCTTCACCTGAAACTTGAACCTGATACGAAACTTGAGCTTGATTTACATACCTAACGAAGACTCACAGTTCTGCAGTCAAAAATTTGTAATACCTTTTTTAACAACATTTTAGATCTGTTATAACTACTTTTATTATTTTTCAAATCATCTGAAACAATTACGACTGTGAACAACAAATCCTGTTATGAAGTAAGAAAAATCTTTCTAGAACTGCTTTTCGTTTTGGACCTGGAAAACGCTTTTTTCCATACGAGTGATGTCTTAGCTCTTTTCACAACTCTAATGCATGTACATCCCTCAAAAATATGAGCATAACTTTAACAAACGAGGTTTCTGCGTCCAGATTCTATATTTACCTGCACGGCTAGGCCGCCGAATTCCCGGTCATCAATACTCTCAGCAATCTTTGCAGCTGCTCCTTTCTTTAGCTGTGGGCTTTCGTTTCCCTTTAGAACAGATACAAAAACAAGGTTACGACAAGATTTAGTCAGGCATATTGCACAAACCAGTTATTTAAATACTCTGCCTCTACCTAAATGGGTTTTTCACGAAACTTATAAATTTCGCGATTACTGAGGTTTCGTATTTCGAGCAATTCTTAAATTTCATGGTTTCGGGGGTTCCGCCTATTTCTCGCTACGATCATAGTCCAAGCCATTGTTTTTGCGCTTTCATTCAATGCATCATTCATATTTGTCTTAAAACATAGACATGCATTTCTCGACTAAAATGACTTTCTACTAGCAATAGCGAAAAATAATTTCGCGTTAGTTTCTTGTTTTTGACTCGAGTATAATGACTACGTGAGGCGAAGCGCTAGTGCTTTGCTCTCAACATTCTCTTTCATTCCTGCCTTTTAATGGTAATTAATTAATTATTTATTTATTTGTGTATTAATTATAATTATGGATTTATTTCTCCAATAATTCAAGGTCACCTAATTTTCTAACCTATTTATCGCGTCACTTTAATTTTGGGATTTTTTTGAAATTTGCAAAATCAAACCCAAAATCAAGCTGTCCGATGTTGATGTCAGGGTTTACAATTTCGAAGCGTTATATAGACCCTTTTTGATAATCTTTCAAACTAAAATACTCACAAGCCAGTAGTAGATGATGGTCTTTCTACCCCCTGGGCCATAACTATAGACCAGGACGTAGCAATCAGCGGAGTTAAAGACCAAATTTCTTCCGGAATCCACCAACGTCTTATCATCATCATTATCCCCATCATTCTTCAGAAGGTCGATCTTATAGATCTTAAGCCCATCGCTTTGACCATTATCGTTGGCGTACGGATCATTGACTTCAACACTCCTTGGTTTTTCGTGTAATGCCCTGAAGTCGATTACGGTGTGCACTGACCTTGCTAAATAAGTAAAATAAAATATATTATTTAGAGTTTAGTATATATCACAATAGCTGGTACTGCACGAGTTTGAAACAAGCTATCGATTCATAGACCTTTTCTGAAATAGCGAAAATGGTGTACTACTTTTCGAAGGTCAGCTAAGATTTCTTTTTACTTTATTTCACATTTGGACTGTCTTATTGAGTTTTGAAAAGAATCGCCGTACATTTTCTTATAACATGACACCACAGAAACTAAGAGTCAAATCGCAGTGACGATTGTACTGTCTGTCGGTACCCACCACCTAAGTCAACAAAATCGGGTCCTTAGTTTGGGCCATGGTTCCGACCTTGCCCCTAAGCTATCAYGTGATGTCCTTACCGACGCCTCCGGTCCCCTTTGGCTTGGAGTAATCGACATTCACTGGTTCCAATGCGCTGTCATCTTTCCATGAAGGAAAACATGCACGGAAAGCTGCAGTCTCTGCAAACTGTGGCATCACAACGATTCCCAGATTTGGACTTTCGCTAAGCTGCTTCAAGAATCCCTGCGTTAAAAAAATTAATGACAAGAACATTTAATAGAGGTGTACAAATGTGTTGCAAGCGTTTTGGAAAAAATCTTGCATTCAGAATGTGCTCATTCAGTAGTATCCAGCGTGAGATCTCACGAAAATTATCGATTTACCAATTAATTTTGGTAATCAAGGGTAGTGTAGCGGTAGTACACTCGCCTCTCACCTCGGGGGTCTCGGGTTTAAGGCCTGGACTTGACATCACATGCGAGTAGAGTTTGTTAGGTCTGACGTGCCCTGACTTTGACCCGCATCGTTCCAGCTATTCCTTAGGGTATCGTAAAGGCCTTTGTTGCTCCGTTATTCCCTCATGTGCCGAATGATAATGGTAAATTAAAGTGAATTAAGTTAGGCACGCCTTCTGAATCGATATAAGGCCTAGGGCAAACGTCAGAACTTTCCATGCACCGAACTCATTAAAAACAATGGATATCAGGTGGTAATGAGGTGGCATTCTTTGGTGTAATTAAGTTCGGTGCATGGAAAGTTCGACGTTTGCCCTAGGCCTAAGCTCCGAAGTCTCTCCTCATACAATCTCAGTAGTTGAATTAAGTTCGCCAACGGGCCTTACCTTGGCATTTGCCATAGCCTGTGCTCTCTCAGTCGAACTTGCTTTTTTTCCTTTCCATACGTAAACATTCCTTCCAGTAAAGAGAATGAAGCAATCCTACAGAGGTCCAACACAATCAAGCATTGGTAAGGAATGTTGATGGGTTTCCTGTGTTTTTTTAGTCCCTCGGGTTCTGCTCACGCTATCCGATGTTAGTAGATTTTTTATTGAAAGTATTTGTAGATAAAAATTAACCTTTTCCGAATTTGCTCGAGTGACGACCGAAGAAACATTGACTTCAAGTCGGGGTGGGACTTAATAAAATATAGTAATTGTGTGGACACATATCCAATCCCCATGGAACCCTTTTTTCGTATTCAATCAAGCGAATTCGTGAAACGGTCTATTGACTCGCAGCACTTCACTTTCTATTAGAAACGCCTAATATTTCAACTTACGTTGTCATTGAGCAGTTCTTGTCTTGGAGGACCTAGTTCCTTCATTTCGACCCTATCACCCGCATCACAGATCCTAAAAAAATACGAGATACAGCCTTTTAGTCCAAGAGCACAAGGACGTAGAGCACAAGGGGAGAGATCTAATTGTTAAATAGTGAAGTATATATAGCCAGAGTTTTACAGTGCAACTACTGTAACCGGGACGACTTAGACAGTTAGTGTTAGACACTGGAAAAATGATTTGCGGGTCCAAAAAGAATAGTATAAAAAATATAGAGTCCAAGAAATACATTTACTGAAAAATATCTAGACTTTTTTTCTGGACATACTTGTAAAGTTTACTAGCGCGTGCTAGTTTGTCAGCATCTTCATCGCTTCTTGCCTGAAGTCTTCTCAAATTTCCAAAATTGAGCTTAGCAGAGGATGGGAGCTCAAATAGTTTTCGGATTTCATCGCGTTTGTCGTGAGTGTTGAGGTTTTTTTCGTCTGCAAAGAAAAAAGCAGATAAACCATGTAGGATATGTCATCGAGTGGAGCATGTTTTTCATTAGAATACAAGTCAAGCAGTAAGAGTACTAACCAATAATGATAACATGACCTCGTCCTCCTTGTTCATTGTCTCTGATACTGTTTGCCAGGCTAATGGCCTATGATCATCAAGATAAATAGTTAGCAAGCAATACTTAATTGACCTTCGAGTAAAGCCAGACGTGGAAAATTAACACCGGCTTACGAAGTTACCTTTGCTTGTTCATTACGGTTAGATTTTTCCCCCAAAAGGACGAACAATCCTTTTCCTCCATCAAGAACGTAACAGTCATCGGAGTTCAATGATGCTAGTTTGACATCAACCTGTCGATATTAGATTCGATGAATACTGTCAGCGGATATGACGTCATACCCGCGCCAAGCATATTCTCGTTCCCAACGAGTAGGGTCTACAATCTCCGCCATTATTGTTGGCTGAAAATCGAGCGCGCGCCATTAATTATGCTTCGATAATTTTTTATTTTTACTGCTACGTAGAGCACACTTCTAATAACGCACAGTTCTCGACCAATCAGAGCGCGTGTACGTACTATCTAATCAGTACTAGTACAAGGTCTACAATCTCCTCCATTATTGTTGGAACGATTGCTGAAAAGTGAGCGCGCGCCATTAATTATGTTTCGATATTTTTTTGTTTTTACTGCTACGTAGAGCACACTTCTAACGCACAGTTCTCGACCAATCAGAGCGCGTGTACGTACTATCTAATCAGTACTAGTACAAGAGAAGTGTTCTTTCGACAATCACATTCCAAGAGACTTGTTTATTACCTCGACTGCTTGTGCAATTCTTGCTCCTTTGATTTCATACAGCTGGGTTCTGTTAGAGTTGTCCATTTTCTTCAACCTGGATTCGTGACCTCCCTTGGCGTACCTCAGATTTGGTGCTCTCCTTCCGTTGAAAATGGCTTTGAATTCAACACTTTCATTTCCCATTAGCTATAGAAACATTAATTATAAGTAATTATGGAATACTAAAGGTTTCCTACGCACACACAAGCTGTGATATGTAATGTAGTTAACGATCTTGATTTATAAAGATTTCATACACGAGTATAAACTGGCACCTTTAAGTGATTAAGGGGGTAGACCTACTATACCTCTCTGTATTGCACGGCGCCTCCTCCAAGGTATTCATCCAATATGGTGGCAAACATTGCTACGTCCATCTGCTCATCTTGCTGTTGATTAACAAAATTGAATTTAATATAACATGATGAATTCTCAAGTAAGATAATGGGTTTTGCCTGGGAATACAGGATTAGGGTGACTTGCAATTGGATTAGGAATCCTTAATATAGGATTACGGTTTATTTTCCTCTCTAGGGGGAAGGGGAGATGCAAGGTATCTACCCCAGGACTGGAAAATAATTCAGGATCCTACTTGGACACTAGTTCTGTGCTATCAAGCAGGTTGACTGGAAAAAATTATAGTGGATCAAAGGATCAATGAAAACCTACCCCTGTGCTCTCACTTCCGATCAAGAAGTGGATGTGAATGACTGGTGTTGTTCCGCTTTTCTTCGTATAGCACTTTAAAAATAATAATAAGATTTATGTTATGATGAATAATACCAATCCCTGAAAATGGGCCCTAATTGTTTTTGGTTAAAGAAGCATTTATTTCACAATTTTGAAACCAAACCAACCTACAGAACGACACTTGAAAAGATAAAATTGTCAATACAATATCTACACCTACTTGCAAGAACGTTGACATACGAATATAGAACATTAGTGATTTAGTGGGATAGGAATTACATTAAAAACAAAAGAAGATCACTGAAGCTGAACATTTTCTTTTGTCTTTTAATATATTCCTTTCTCACTAAATTACTAATGTTCTAATATCGTATGACAACGTTCTTGCAAGTAGGTGCATACACTCTTGAATTAAGAATAAAGAGATGTCTTTTTGCGTTTCTTTAAAAATGAAGTTGAAATATTTGCTTAATCTGATTTTCAGATGTTTTCCGAATTACCGGTTAAAAAAAACCCAGTTTAACCATATATACAGAGCCATACTCGTGTCAGTATTTCATCTAATCCAACGATTAACAGGTATATAGAAGCGTAACGTTCCTGATTTAATGCTTTTACTCACGTTATAAATAACGTAGCAATCACCCTTGTAGAACTTGCCATATTCTTTTTCAGGAACACGTTCCATGTTTCCTCTCTGTTCGGATTTAAAAAGAAACGAATGAGTAGGAAACAAATGAGAAATTTACAAAGCCATTTCCTTGAACAATCAATGACGTGTATATTACTACGGTATGTTGAGATTATCACGTGTGCTTGATATCTTTTTTATTCAGGAGTTTCGAATACGAGTGATGAAGAAGATATCAGACTCAACATCTGCTAATTTGTTTATTACACATTAATGCTCAATTCAAAATACCATAGTTTTCATATCCCCCATAATGCTTTGCTTTCAAAAAATCATTCTTCAATCACATATCATGGGCTTCGGAAGGGGTGGGACAGGGGGACCTATTGGAAACCTATTTTTATGTCCTCCAAATGAAGGTGCATTGCGACGTACTGCAAGGGGTCTATTGTCAATCAAAATGGCGGCTAGACGTAACATGCACGAATAAACACGGCCGAATTCTCCCCAGTCCCCCATTCATTTTGCATATGGAAAAAACATACGTTGTCTCGCCAGATGATCAGAGCAGTTTTGCCCTTCACGGAATCAACATCAGCTTTCATGTCAGGATCAAGACCTGCCATCTTGGGTTTGATTTTGAAGTGTCTGAAAAAGGGAAAAACAATTTAGTGTGTATCTTGAAACAATTTTGAATAAATATTCATTACACTTTAGTTAAAACTGAAAAACTATTAAACTCGAACTTTTGGAAATGAAACACGAATGAAAAAGTGAAATCAAGATATTAGATTGACAAAGAATATGATTTTATTTCCTCGCAAAATTGAAATGTCGCGAAACATGCGACCTCCGAAATCGCGAAATAGGACGTTTGCCCTGATGGCGTCATTGACCTCTAATACCAGACTCCCTTGCACACTTTTTTTTGTTCAGTTTCTTAGCACCAATATTGTCTTTCTATTCTTACCAGGAATGAATGCAAATTTAAATAAAGAAAATTCCCAAAGCATTTTGGTAGTGGGAATCATAAAAAAAGCCATCATGCAAACGTCCTATTAACATTTCCTGYAATAAGGTGGTACTCGTTACTGTTAAAGAACTAGATCTATCTCAATGCATCGTTTAAGAATCAGAATGCAGGAAAGTTGTTCGTACCCTGTTCTTTAGAGAGGATAGCAAACCTCTCGCTTTTCGATAGCTTTTGTATCTGAAGAATTGTTTTGCATTCAAAGATATTCGAACAATTTAAAATACACAGGTCAGTGAGATTGGGTGGTGTGATTTATGACGTCATTAACCTCATTATGTATGCAATTTTCCAAGAATTCAGCCAAGGTATTTAAGTTTTACCCGATTAACAGAAAGACACCTAGAATGAATAATTTCCAGTGAAAGTTTGTTTTTGATGATAAAAACATTAAATTGGACCTGCCATTTTGAAAAAAAAAAAAAAAAAAAAAAAAAAAAANGAAAAAAAAAACAAGAAGAAGAAGAAGAAAAAAAAAGTATAAATTGAACCAGATCGTCCACAAAGTTCTTTTGTACGTAGGGTACAAGCATTCCCAAGCATTGCGAGCATTCCCAAGAGAGTTAAAAGACAATAGCATGGCGGCCATTTTGGTGTTAATGGATGTTAATGAGAAATCTTTTGTTAAATGGCACCAACGCTCCTCCGAGAGGCCGCGATGACGTAACGTGCAATCGAAGAATTATGATCAAGCCAATTATAATATAATCAAACTATGTGTTTTCCCAAGCTTGAAATTTTACTAGAACAATCCATGAACTATAACCTCCGTGACGTTATCACTACACTTTCTTTTTCTGACAGCTACTCGATGTTCCAATATTAACTAATATTGAAGGCATATCAAAGTTACTTATGATTAACTGAGCTATAATTTCCCAAAGAGCAAGAGATTGGGAGAACTATAAGCATTTGAACATTCTCTTTAACGAACAATTTATCTCTTCCCAACCACCCACCGTTTAATTCTTTAGGATAAATTGGCATTAAATGATTTTAATTGGCAATCTTTAGAAATTCGAATCCACGGTGTTTTAATTCAGTACATTTTTCCTTTCAAGCCTACGCGTTTCCAGATATTTCTAAAATCATGAGCGAGGCTCGAATTCTTTATTTAAAAAAATCTACAGGTTGTTTTGATCCACCGACTCGCTTAGTTTATAGACGAATTCTGATTAGACAATGTCAAACTTGTTTACAACTTCTAACAGCTCACATCGTATTAATTTCGCAGATGACTACAGAATTATAAAGAAAAGGAATCTGTCTAATACTGATGGAATAGACGAAGCAGAAATTGAAACCCGAGTTTATGCACGGAATGTTGCGGAACACGCGATTAAGTAAAAAAAAAWTTTTTTTTAAATAAAAATAATGATAAAAAGAGAAAACTGAATTAATACGAATTGATTAAATTGAATACTAATTCGTAGAAATTGCCATTTCTTCAAACATGAATTTTTTTTAACTTCTCAAAAACAATCGATATTTCAATCACAAGAAATGAACTTAAAATCAATACAATATCATCAATTATTAACTAATAAACACATTTGTTGTCTCTATTATATAAATGTTCTAAATAGAAAGGTCGCGAGACACTTGACGATCCATGTTGCGGCTTTACTTTCAAGCTTCAATATCCTTAATAGTAATGACAGTCAGTCTTATGTGCAATAAGACGTCTACATTAAAGTATTTATTGAGATCTCTAAGAATTCAGCATTAAATAAATCGTACAAGTATGGTATTCAGATTGTACAAAACCTTAAATAACTTTGAAAACTTGAACGAATCGATCTTTGAAATGCAAAAATAATAATTTTGGCTGAACAATAATCAAATAATTTAGTAACGCCTAAGATTCCTTTTAGGCTATTTAGACTATTCATTACAAACGAAAAGGTTTATAAAAATCCAGCATTACCAGTATTTCACACCTCCTAAAATTATTTTTCAATTGATTAATATTGAATACCTCTGTTCCGAATGCGGGACAATCTACAATAAGAAAAAAAATAATAAAATAAACAAACTAGCTAAATTTCTTGTTCAGATTAAACATCTCGTAGATGCAACGCAGGTTATCAAAATCTAGAACCATCATTTTCGAGTAGTTCTAAAGTAGTATTGAGCAAATCTTTTTAAAACAATACACTTAAACTAATCGTTTTTTCTTCATGCTTCAAAGAGCAACACACCTATATCTTATTTTAATTCAAAAACTTTCGTATTTCGACCCATTTACTCGATAAAAAAGTTGTAAGCTGAGAGAAAATCTTTGATAAACCAATGCATGGGCTTGTTTTGAATATCATTAAGACCTTAGAACTCTCATAAAATATGGAAAACTTTGTCTTTGACTAATTAGAAAACCATAAAAGCTCCAGGAATATAAAGTTCGTCGTTCTAACTCAGAAGAAAATAATAATAATTTCGACGACGGTAAACACAAAACCAATGCCAAATAAAACACTTAGACAAACTTTAAAATAAATATTTACAATATTTGAGCACAAAGTAGTCGACGTCTGAAAATATATATTATATTTCCTCTAGTTTGAAGCTGTTGTGTTCCGAGCAAGTCATAATAAATATTAGTAGGGAAATCTTAAATCAATTTGAGCATTTCTTAATATTATGCATTTATTTCGCAGTAGTCTTACCTTTAGGAAGTGTTAAAAATGGTATCGAACGAAAGAAAATCCCTCCAAACAAGTTTTGTCAACTGCTCGAAGACACCCAAGTGAATTTTGGGAGTTTGTTGTGTGTTTTAAAGCCTTATCCGGGATATTTCTGTCGTGTGGGCGTTGACAGCCGTCAGGCAAACCATCACGTCATTTAATAATACTTTATTCAAAAAAATGCAGATTACATATTTTGAAAAGGAAGACATTGAGGTTAGCCCTATATAAGTCCCCTAAATTTGGAATTATTATGTTTAATTTGTATGTGTTATATATAAAAGTCTACATTCTCTAACCGAATCGTAATCGGTTTTAACAAATAAACAAATTGGCCAACAGAATTTTCGAGGTAGGTACAATCTTTCAGGTCGTTTTGCCGTGCGATTTCGACGATAACTGTTTTTGCTTGTTGTTTTGGTATCTTATACAAAATGCAAATAAAAATCTTATTCAATTAATCGAATACTCTGTCACGCAACGCATAACGTGACAAGTTCACATTCTAATAAATCGAAAGGTGAATATAAAATTTCCCATTTTTTTTTACAGGATTAGGAAAACTGGTCGATATCCTAAATGGTAAAAAGAACTTCATAAGATATATATAGCTTAAATGTAATTACTCCTTCTAGTTTGTTTATAGACACCCTCTTCGAAAATTGTCTCAAAAGTTGTCAAAAGTTACTGAAGATTGTTCAAAATCTTGTAGTTTTTATCCACTGATCTAGCAGTAGTAAGTAGGATTCTAGTTCAGAGGAAAAGCTTCCAAAATTGACCAATAAAGAAAGAAGTGATTCTTGTAAATCTTTTGATTTTTTTTCCAATATGGAATTTTAACACGGTTGACGTAAAAATGGAATACAGATCAATTCACAAGTTTGTCTTCCATGGTTGATCAAATCCGAACGAATCATCGCTCTTGAATATTCTATTTACTTGGTTATCATTCCACTCATCCTTCCAAGTGGAAAACGAAGCCTTATGCACGAATAAGCAGTGATTGAGCTTTTCCTTATATGGTTTCGATTTGAGTGGGACTGAAATCGCAAACAAAAACAGAATTAAAACAACCACTTGATTGCGGATCCTGCTGATTCCATGAGTAAAAAACGGTTTGATCGCTTCTTCTTGCTTTAGAGCTATAATCTATATCGTATCCTCAATCATATTCTAATAGATTCTAATGCTGTGTTTCTCAATACACACTAGTTTTACAACCTAATGATCCGAGTTATAAAAGTTTTAGATTTACACTGCATCGATTGGTTATCTTTTTGATTGTTTCAGATTTACCTAAGGATTCCCACGCTTTGTCAAAACACCCTTGGGCAATCCAAAAAGCTATAGAGCGTTTTCACGTGACGTCACAGCGGCCATTATGGGGTACCAAAACAATACATTTTCTATCCTTCGGGAATTGAAATCTATTTTTATGCAAATACTGTGCAGAACGTTTCTATTGTTTATGGCTGCCTTCCGTCTCAAGTGAAAACGCTCCGTTAGGGATTTTTACCGATTCTTAGAACTCAGCGGTTACTGAAATGTCGTCATCAGTTTCTCATTTCGACTCTTACCAGAATGCTTTGCTGGTGAAAATTCCTATGACGTACCATACAATTTTTTAACTCTTGTAAATTGGACTTGAAACGACGCCTTTCCAGTGTCGCAAATCGCGTTGCATTGTGGGACTGTTTCATGGGACACTTAATGTTTCTCATATGGCATCTTTTTCGCTTGTTGACTGTGAAAAGGAAACCTGGACTGTCGTATTTTTTCTAATTTCGGCTTTTGTTTCTTGAACCATGCATAAAATTTAAACTGACTGATGAATCGTCCATAATGTAAGGCATCTACAACTCTGGAAACTAATATAAACTTGGGCCGCGAAAGTTATGGAATACTTTATTTGAAAGAGCGAAAGGCTTTTTTTTTTAAGTGAAAATTTAGCTTATCGACGGTAGACAACTGCTTCTCAACTGCACTTCAGGCTCGCAAGTTAAAGAGAATTTTTACGGAAAGAATTATGCGTATTTTAAATCGTGAATAAGAAGGAATACGATAACCTAGTTTTGACCAAAATATTAGTAGTAGTTCGAAGTCTTATTTGAGTTTTGAATATGCTTCCGAACCTCGTACCTCGTAAAGCATGTTCCCGAAGGTAAATCGAAATCAGACAAAGCAGTCAACTTACATAGAATCCGGACCAGCTGAGCCGTTCGTCATACTCCCATGCAATCCATTCTGCACAGGATGGGAAGCCACTGTACCGTTCTGCATCGTTAAGGGAATCAGCAACGTGTGCACAGGAAACCGACGACCAAGACCAGGCTATAACCAGCAGGATGAACTCCTCTAAAGCGTTAGCACGTAAACCGTAGGTGTAGTGCACTTCTCGAAAGGTTCGGCAAATATATATCAATCGTAGTTAAGTCCTTAGGGATTTCAGACATCATGTGCATGTCAGTATGTCCGCATTGTATCGAAGGTGAGAGCTAAAAAAGCCTGAACTAATGTAAAAAGACAAAAAGTCGCATGATCTATAGGCATTTTTCTAACAAAAAAGCTCTACCGTACTCAAGAGTTGTAGGAAGAAAAATGTTGAGCTCTCTCTCCTGAAGAAATAGACCCTTTCAAAATTGGTTGTGAGGCTAAAGGGAAGCTGAATTATTACAAATTACACTGCCTAAAAACTCCATCAAGGAAAACTATGTTTTCTTTTGTGATTGTGTACATGATTACTACCGAGACTTTTTTCGTGAAAATTTGGTATTTTCATCAAATAGCTATGATCTAATTGTGTATGAGGTGACCGACGCCCAATTTAACCCATGAAACAAACGACTGACAGTCAAAATAAAACAAAAGAAAAAATTGAATTAGTGTCTGCTACTAAGGTATGTGTGCAATGTCTAATGTTTTCTATTGTTTCATCAGTGCTCAGATCTAGTTGTACAACTACGGGAGCCCCCCTCTACAAATGACCGGCCCTTTCATAGATTTTCGTTGAAAATTTGGGACGAAATAGCAGAAGCTAATAATTGTACCTAAAGTCGAGCAAAGCACTCAGCACTTTATAGAGAACAAACACTATAAGTGTGTAACATAAATACCACTAAATACTGCTAAATTATGCTAATTCTATTGTTTCCTATTGTTTAACTAGCACTATTTACTACTAAATAGTGCAAAGTGTTGCACACTTTTAGTGTTTGTACTCTTTATCTAAATGTAGAATTGTATCTTGGTCTCCCTGTGGTTTTGCATAGTAACCAAGCCTTTCTATTCAATATGGCCGCCGGCGTCATGTTTTATTTGTTGTTTTGAAAGAAATCACTTTTCACACTTTYATAGACGGAAAGGAAACCATTTGACGCCAAAAACATGCCTAGGAAGGTATAGTAAAGTTTATTCTGTGTTTATCAATTTTTATTCGTGTTATTTTAGTACTGTTGATTTTAAATGTTTTAGTATGTTTCCAAAGTAAAAACACATGTTTGTCAGAACTGCTTGAATTGGATTGTATCCTTTAAGATCTGTTTCCCCGCTTCTTCTACTATAATCACTTCCAGTCGTCGGGGTTTATGACTTTCTTTAATTAAACTATACCCATAGAGATCTTTAGAAATTTAATTAGACGAAGCCAAGCACCCGAAAACGTGATGTGTTCATATTTCTGGGTCGATGAAATGTCAAAGGCCCATTGTATTTAGATGATTAGATAGTTAAGCTTATTTCCTATCCCTTGATAGGAAACCCTTAATAGCCTTAATATTTGTTTAAATTCTTGATATTGTTTTGAAAATTAAGAAACGTGGACCAAAGCCAAAAGGTGAGGTGGAAAAAAGTAAAGATAAAGACAATGAAAGTGGAGAAAATGAGCAGGAGAAAGCTAAAGCAAGCAATCCTGTAACAAATGACAAGCCAGACAAAGAAGAACCAGTGAAAATACCCTTTCCAATTAAAAGACCTCGAGGCAGGCCAAGTAAAAAGTGGCAAGAACAGCTTGCGTTGGCTATTGCAGAAGGAAGGGCAGTACCGTTTGAAAAGAAACCTAAGGTATCAATCATTCATCATCTTTTACTATTATAACCAACAGGGTCTGGTCATATGAAGAGTGCAGAGGTTCGATGGTAAATTAAGGAAATTCTGATGGATTTTATCAACTTTGACTGTAAGAGAAGGACTGAAACTGAGATTTCAGTAAGAGAAATTCCATTCAAATCATTTGATTCAGAAATTCAGGATAACCTCCAGAAGTTATCCACAATTTTTTAATGTTTTTTTTGAAGATGGCCATACCTGTACCATTATCATTCTGTCCAAAATCCAAAAAAAAATTTTTGTAAAGTATTATTATAATAAATAATTGGTAAGCACCTCTAAATTAACTGAACTACTCAACCAAGGTAGGTGGGGTGGTGGACAAAAATATTAAATACCTGACCTATTAAAGCATTTGATTTAACTCGTATAGAAAAAGAAAGATGCAGTAAAAGAAAAGAAAGAAAAAGGTGCCAAGAAGGACAAAAAAGAAAACAAAGCACCTAAAACACCTAAAAAAGATAAAAAAGAAAAAGAAGAAATACCAGAAACCAAGCCTCAAACGCCGAGTCCCCAAGCAGCCAAAACAACAGAAAAAGAACCAGCATCAAGTCAAGAACCAGTTGAAACAGTCCAACCTACACCAAAAAAGAAACCAAGTATCAGCTATTTAGAAATTCTTCAAGCAGTTTTGGACAAACTTTATGAATATCGATGGCCGCAAGATGACACTGGAGAATATTATTTATTGGAACAGCAACTTAGTGATTTCCTTGGGGTCTCAATACAAGCCAAACACCAAGGTATTTATATATTTAAACTGAATATTAATGGTTAGCCATGATGGGTCTTTAATTCTTAGTTAGAATTATTTGTACTACTGTAAGCAGATAAGTGATATCAATTGTTTAACATGGCTTTGCCGACTGCAACCAAGTGTAATTTAATCAAATTTCATGTATACATTATATAATTTTTTGATAAAAAACAATGTAATCATACTGTATTTAGGTTGAACCTAAAATGAAATTTGTGATCCCCCGATATAGTATCTAAACCTTAACCTCCTAATATCTCAGCCTTTAATTATCCTTGTCATTCATGATGAGAATATTAAATAAGAATTAAAACTCATTATTCCAGCTAGATAATGGTTGATGGGTTTTTTATAGCGAACAGTTCAAATCCCCTACAAAACAATACTCTAGTTTTGAGTTCTGGGTTGCTCAGGTGTACCTCGATTTTGTAAAGAATATTCACATGTTCCATTAAACATCTGTGAAATTTCAAAGTGTTTGTATTGTTGAAGTTGTGCATTCTTTACTTTACCGTTGGTTTATTTTGTGAATATTTAGACACTGAAATAAGGTTAACCCTGATGAGTAAATGAGTATGTAATCAAGGAACACATAGAAATTTGACAAATTCAAAAACCGTCTATTAACTCTTCATCACATCAAAGAATATCCATCCAGGGGGGTTCCCATAGTCTGGAACAGCTTGTCAGCAAAACAAAATGAAAATGTAATATAGCCATTCATACTGCATGCTCCTGGAACTTAGACAATTTTTTTTGAAACAGGTGTACCAGTCTTCAAGTCCTACATACATGTAACTAGTAATGCTTTTAATACTAATAAATAATTTTTTTTTCATTGCTTTACATGCATGTACTGTATGGTTTTAATTTTGTTAATTTTTCTATTTCCAGATCTAGAATTTCATACTCTAGAAGAAGAAGAAAAAAATTTTCTGAAGGAAAAGAAGATTATTAGTGATGGCCAACAAAATATAGGTATTGTATTATTGAATTGTGACTTTATTTCAGTTGACAGTTAAAATGACCTCTGGGCTAATCAAAGTCAGGGCATGGCTAACCCACAGATCCAACCTTTGAAATGACCTCTGCGCCAATCAAGGTCAGGGAATGGCTAACCCATAGATCCAACCCTGAAATGACCTCTGGGCTGATCTAAGTCAGGGAATGGCTAATTCATAGATTGAACCCTGAAACAGCCTCTGGGCTGATCTAAGTCAGGGCACGGCTAACTCACAGACTGAACCCTGAAACAATCTCTGGGCTGATCAAGGTCAGGGCATGGTTAACCCACAGATCCAACCTTTGAAACGACCTCTGCGCCAATCAAGGTCAGGGCATGGCTAACCCACAGATCTAACCTTTGAAATGACCTCTGCACCGATCAAGGTCAGGGCATGGCTAACTGGCACCTTGGTAAATTCATATGGAAATGTTATTCAATGTATTGTTTGTTCTGATTTTAATCTAATTATTTACCACAGATTTGTTGGCTGTCAAAACTGATGATGCTACTCTTCTTGTCAATGAACATTATCCTAATAAGTACCAGGTAAACTGATCTCTTTTTAGTGTTTACTGTACTTCAAAGTTAACTTATTGCAGCAATTAAATCATTTATTATAACTTTATTTTTTTTATTTAGGATTTTCTTCAGTTGGCTCACAAAAGAGAAAAATATAATCTTCTCAAAAAGATTGAAGATGAAAAGGTTAGTTTAAATTAACGCAGACCTAGAACAGCTTTTCCACAACACGGTACACCGAAAGTGCCAATAGCATGGAAGAAATGTGAATCTGAGAAAATTGAGTGTAGGTGTACTGTACTGTTCAATGACCCCTACTCCATGCCCACCCTAAATAACTCCACCCCTTTGGGTAATGACAAATGTTCCATAACCTCTCAATATTTACAGCACAGCACTCAAAAGTTAATGACCACATTTAATATATTTGCATACTTCTACAGTCTGTATGTATTCGTATACTTCTATGCACTGGCTTTTTGCTTCCAAACAAGCATTTACATGCCTTATTTGATAAAATCAGCCAGCTTCATTTCTTTTGCTCATTTCTTTGGGGATACTTTGCAAATGTTGTTTTGAACTACTTTTCAACCATACTTCATCAGTCTTCTTCAGGCCAGCTTCGCATCAAAAAGTGCCAGTTTAATGTACAAAAGCTTGTGCATAAATGCATTAAATGTGGTAATACTTTTGCATGTTGAGTTGTAAATGTTTCATTCAAACTTATATTTTGGATACATGATTAAATGCACCTTAACTTAATTTCTTGATTTTCTTTAGACCGTCAAAGAAAGCAAGAAGATTCCTAATCCTCTTAAAAGAGCACTCAAAGATGCCGTAGAGTTTAATGCTCAGTTAGCACTACAGAGGAGAGAAGAGAGATGCTCATATTTTGATATGCAGACACAGGTTAATATTAACTGAGACTAACTGTTTCTAGTTGCTATTACTTTTTGGGGTTTGTCATTATCGTTTGAATACTAATGAAAAGGACTTTATTGGGTATTAAGGTACATGCAGGTGATGTGTATGTGTATGTGTATGTTCACTCCAGTAGTCCCTTTCACAGTTCCCAGCACCATCTTGAAAGGTAGCTCTGCCTTTTCATTGAAGCGAGACAAACGGTGAGCTTGTAATGATAGAGACCTGTGAATAATTATTGTCCAARGTGTTAAAAAAGGTCTCTATCATTGCAAGTTCACTGTTCGCCCTCCTTCAATGCAAAGGCACGACTACCTTTCAAGATTGTGCTGGGAACTGTGAAAGGGCCTATTGGACCAAAGGCTTATGAATCATTCATGAGGTTTTTAAACTATGTTAATTTAAAATTTGTCTGAAATTCAGATTATCCATTATCCTGTGAACAAGACATCCAAACTGCCCAATCACATGACCGTTCCAAGCAAGTACCCTGTGGCCTTACTACCAGGACAGTTCCAGGAATTTTACAAAAGGTTGGTTATGATCTGTATTACCAGTCATCTGGTCATTTGAGAAGATCAAACATTGGTCAAATAGAGGTCATTTACATGTATGTGTTGTTTTCAAAATTTATCTACTGGTATACACCTACAGTATTTCAAAAAACATCATCGGTCCGAGATCAGAGACGAAATATAATGTTTGTGCTTTTATGTTTTCTGAATAAAATATAAAAAATCATATTTCTAACTCAAAATACATGCCTCATATTCCAATCTAAAAGAAAACTATGTTGCTCAGCTGTGAATACATATATCAAAGTTTGAAGCATGTTACAGTACTCACCCTCAGATTTCAGTTCTTCAACAGTCAACATTTATTAAAATAGATGTACAGCCTGAGTAGCCCCAATCTTCCCTGATTCCACAAGGAATGCCTGGATATATGCAGACTAACTACTGTAGTATATAACCATCCATACATGGTTCATTTTCTTTCTTTGGGAGTGTCTAAGGAGATTATATTTTCTACATAAAATCAAAGGCTTTGGAGAGTAAAATCACATAGATGGAGTCCTATGCACTGTTGTGTGACTATTTTCAGCGACTACACTGTACACAGTTCAATGTATCATTGTTGTTTATTTTTAGTTATTCTCCATCCATGCTGAGAAGTTTTCCACTTGGTACAGTGATTGACAGCTCCAGACACAATCAAATGTTTGATTCAAGAAGCTCATTGACTGGAGGTTCTTCAGACAGTTCAGGGGTATGTGTCCCCCATTTCAGACCGTGTGTCACTCTCCTGAGATTATGATTCTTTGTTTGAGTTATATCCATATTCATGTGTCTTCTCATGCACAACTATTAAACAAAGAAAAGGTACTCAAGGGAATGACAGATAGTTTGGGCTTGATCCAGCACACTCACCAATATTGAAAACCAATATCAAAGGGACGTAAAAAACCCACTGAGGACGTAAAGAAACCCTGACAGTGACCATCCTCAATGCCTACACCTCATACTAACCACCTCTCGTGTTTGTAAATTACATTTTAAAACCAATCTGAAATTCACAACTCAATGTAAAGCCCCTTTGATTATATCCATATAGAAATAGTGCACAATATAAATTATGAATCATTCATTCGTCCATCCATTCATTCATTCATTTATTCCTTCATTCTTTCACAATTGATACTAAAAATCAAACCTAAGAACCCAGACTAGTGCACTACCACCACACCACCCTTGATTCCTGCTCACCTGTGATGCTGAGTCCAGGAATCAAATCTGAGGCCATTAAGGTGAGAGGCAAATGCCCTAGTACTACTGACACCACCTTGATTTGAAGGGGACATTGGGATTTGYGGTTTCTGACAATTTTTGATGCAGTTTTGCTGAAAAGTTTATCTTTGACTTCGGTTTCCTCCAAGTCTTGATTTGACAGTTTTTGGACTGCAGTTTTCAGTAAAATCCAGTTATCTTTGTTAGTATTTTGGTTTACTTGCTTTTCCTTTTTTTTAGTTTTCTTTTATAAACCTTGGCCCATCATAATTTTATAACTTCGTATTGACATTTTAGGGATCATCATCCTCATCATCATCTGGAGATGATGACAGTGATGATGATGACAGCAGTGATAGCAAGGCTAGTGATGATGAAGAAATGAATGAAGAAGAAGAGGAAGAAGTCAGTGAACCACCAGCAAAGAGAAGAGCACTTGGTTACAAGGTAAGAGAGTGACCCGCAAGTGCGACCGCAATTGCGACCCGCAAAGTTTGATGTCTCGTTCACGAACTAGCATTTCAATGACCATCAATCAAAGAACTGCAATAAGAAGAAAAGATTGAGGGAGATTTTGGACTGAATAAAATATTTTAATCCTCTAATCCTCTAAGACATCACATTGTGTTTTGGGTGACAAACATGTATAACTCTGCCCACAAATACAAAGGAACATGGTCCTGAGTTTGAAACAGTCCTTTATTTATTCACATCTTTTATGGAAATCAAGTTTGTTAGGTGTCTACCTTAATTAGGGGTATCTCTGGGTTCTCTGGTTTTCCTCCTTCTGTAAAACCAACTGTAAAAAAATTCCAAATTCCAATTCTACCTTAGACCAGTCCGGTGATTTTTCAACTTGTCAGAGTGAAAAGTGAGCCTTGGACTGGATTAATTGCGCTTGCCCTGACTGTGATCAGCCCAGAGGTTGTTTCAGGGTCATGTTCAAGGTCACAACAGGGATTAAACGGCTAACTTTTATTGGATATAACTGTGATGATTGAATTATTTCAGCCACCACACAGACCAGATGCACTCTGTGGTATATGTCTAAAGGGAAGTGAATCCAACAAGAAAGGCTTCATGGAAGAGCTTATTCACTGCTCACAGTGTGAGAACAGTGGTAAGTAATCAGATTTATTACACATTTAGGTTCAATATTAGTGTAATAAACCCCTGCATAAGAACCATATCAGTGAAGTGATATAAAATCACTTCACGGTAAACTGGAAATCGTGAGTTTTGTTAATTTGTATTGACCCTAAATGTGTAATAAACAAATTATTATATGTTAAGAGCGTGATTTATACATGTAGTTGACTTTCCTTTCTGGGGCTTGATTCCTTTCCTTGGCAATCTCGTGAGAGTAGAGTTTGCTAGGCAATCCCTTGCAATATTGATTGAAGGGGTTCTATGAATTCTGTGTACTCTATTCAAGGTTCTTATTTAGACGGTCTACAGTGTATAATGAGGAAACACCACCTAAATGTATGTATTTGTTTCTGTTTTCCTCTGCACAGGTCACCCATCTTGCCTTGACATGAGTCCACAGTTGGTGAAGGTCATCATTACCTACCCATGGCAATGCATGGAGTGTAAGACATGTACCCAATGCCGCGATCCTTTTGATGAGGTCAGAAATGCAAACTAGTCCCTAAAAAATCAAAATGAAGCTCACAACTGATAATGTGTTCGCATATTTTTGTCTTGCTGTCTTCACTCAGATTTCAGATCTGAGATCAGTTAAGACAATCCTGCAATGCTGATTGAATGATGGCCAAGAAAAAAGTATGGAAATACAATATTGGTGGTCATAATTTAAGGCATGTTGCTGTAGTAGATAATTTTGCATGTTCTCTTATATAAACAGGGTAACAATCAGCTCCTAACAACATATATCCTTAATATTTGATATTAATTATCCATTCTTCCTGTATTTAAGTTTCTTTTTTGTGGTTTACAGGATAAGATGTTATTCTGTGATGAGTGTGATAGAGGATATCACAGCTTCTGTGTTGGTCTAAAGCAGATTCCCGTTGGTATGTTATTCCTCTAGGGTACTACAGTAACAATCAAACCTGCATTTTGATAGGCCATTAAATAGAAGGACATAATCAATCCAATGTTACTGGATGCCAAAAACCTTGGACAACTTTGGCAGGGTTACTAATGCCATACCACTTCCCCTCCCCCCCCCCCCCCCCCCCCCCCCCCATACAATATTTCCAATTTCAAGGGACTTTAGGCTGAAATGATTTGTTATCAAAGTGATATATCATCAATTATTGACTGTTTAATGCAAATGGCTTATTGCCCCAGGGCATGATGACTGGCCAAATTAGTTTTAGCTTAGTCATACCTCATTTATGGCTAAACGTTACTGGTCAAAATGACCAGCAAGGCAAAAATTGGACCAGACAAGTCCCAGTTGTAGCTGGACATTGTCCAATGTCTGGCCGTTATTTAAAGCCCTGTGCCACATAATAAAGTACCTCTTTTGTTAGGTTAGGTTTTGTTTAATTGTTTGGAAGACCAATCCATTGTCATTTTAATCCTATGTATTGTTTGTTAAACCAAACATGAAACTTGTTGCAAATGGTACAGGTTGGCTCTCACTACTTAGTAAGGATTCTTTTTTCTCATTGTTTTCCACATTTTTTTCATTCTCATTGTTTTCCACTTTCTGACAGGACGATGGACATGTGAGCTGTGTGGAGTGTGTGCTTCTTGTCTTCGTCGCACTCCAGGTGAAGGCCCTAATTCCAGGTGGAAAAGTGAGGTAAGTGAGAAGACTAGTTGATTCCACTAAGCATTACGTATAACAACTGTTAATGGTTGTCATTTCTGTATACCCTTTCGATGAATCATGGCACACCCTAAAAGTGAATAGGGTGAGGGGGCTAGTTTCAGAAATATACAGTAACAGTCTAGTATGCATAAGACTACAGAGGGCTCCATAGTCTCCTATTGTCATAATGATTGGAATTTGAACTGTGCATTGACAGCCCTCGGTCCTACTCCTGGTCTACTCCATTAGAAAGTGTCCCTGCTTTGCTTTCACTTTACCCCTCTCCACCTACTGTAGGTGGGTGCCACCACATTGTGGGGGATTGCTGTACTTTCACAAACAGTTATGTTTGAGCACACGTTTAAGAACAAAATCGTTTTGTGTTATCGAGAATTTAATGGACAAAATAATATATAGCACCTTTAATCAAATCAATCCCCATGTACTTATACTCCAATATTATTACTATTTGTTATTCTCAGTATACCAAACCAAGAGATAAATCCGAGCCTCAGTTTCTACAGACACTATGTTCACCTTGCTCCAGGTTGGTACATGCGCAATATTTCTACTTACAATAATGAGTGGAATGACTAATGATTTATTCACACAATATCGTACCCTCATCTGCAGGCCTTTATCACCACTCATTTATTATCCATCGTCAGGGGCAGATCCAGAAATTTGCAGGAGGGTGTCCAAAATGAAAAAAAGTGACAATATAGCGACATCATCAATAATCCTGATCTGACATATTTAATTTTTTCTTAGATTTAGTTTTAGATTTAATCTTATGCGATTTAATCTTGAGTCAGACTAAAGATTCAAGATACAGAAATCATAAATAAATGAAAAAGACATATGTACCAAAAAACCCAGGCTGCTTGGGGGAGGGGGGAGGGGGGTGGGGGTGTCCAATGAACCAAAGGACACCCCCTGGATCTGCCCCTGAATGTTTTATAGAACACTTTCAGTGCCCTTTGAAACTGACATGTTAACTTAAAAGGTTTAATTGTTTCATTTTTTATTCTACTGACGACAGGTTGTTCAGGAGTGGTAACTTCTGTCCAGTATGTCTAAAAGTTTATCGTAATGATGAGTCAGACCTTCCCATGGTTTGCTGTGATGAGTGTGATCGATGGGTACATACCGGTAAGATAATGTCATATGAAATAAACCTGCTTATGATGTTCTGTATCTGAGGTACATGAACTGTATTATCAAAATAGAAGGTCTTTTATTTCAATTTACTAAGAATCTGTTAATGGCTGGGAGGTGGTGATGTTCATATTTTTGTTTAGGGGGGTGGGCTAGTATTTTTTTCTGGTAACATTTTGGAGATAAACGCCATGATAAAACTAAAGGGAATCATCTCATAATTACATCTCATTTACATTAATGTTTTTTAATTCTACGGGTTAGGGCACACAAAAATGTGGTTCGCAAAAGGGAGGAGCCCTACTAAAGGGGTTGTTTTAAATCTCTCAATCCACATACCCTGTATCACATCAACCCTGTTTACAGTCATCATGCCTCCTCTCCATCTAGTCCCCAAACATCATTTATTTAAATATAACACATACAAATCAGGGAGCATGATGAATGGTGGCTAGATTGGGAAGGGGCGTGATGGTTAGGGGCTAGATGGAGAGGGGTCATTGTGACCAGTTACCCCTCGAAGCTAAATTTTGAATATTTTCCTCATTTTCAATTATTTTTGCCCTCAGATTGTGATGACATAGATGATAAAAGTTATGCAGAACTATCAAAGGAAAAGACAAAGTATAGATGCATTTTATGCCGAGGGGAAAAAGAAGAACGCATGGATTCATTTGCCAGGAAAAACCGTGACCATGAAGTTAGTCAGGATGATTAAACCAGCTAGAAGAAGACAAAAAATTCATCTTCATCTTCTTTCTTGAGGGGCATCGTTTGGACACCTTTAACCAATGAATTAACCTAACTTGTAGTTTAGGGAAATCTCCTTTTTCGTTTATTGAGGTTGATTTTCCACAAGTGCAACTTAGGCTTAACAATAGGCTTTGTAACAGAAATTTCACTGACAGAAAAAATTATAAAACTTTTATCCTTTCCACCATAAATCATTCAATTTGCTGAAATTAAGGAAGTTTGAACTATTTGAACCAGCAACAATTTAAAAAACTGCTTTTATTATTGTTTTATTTTTAAGACTGTTGTAGGTTTTCAAAACAAACAAAATGTATTATAATACAGACATACGCTATTTTTAATTCAGCTGCTTATCACTCTTTGTAAGAAGTATCTAAACATCTAAAGATTAGAAACATTAAAAAACATTTATGTAAGTTTTTGTTGAGTTTCAACTGTTGATGGAAATGCAATAGAAAAGCTTACTTCTATCATCCATTTGAGTGTTAGGACTCTGACCAGAACTAATAGAGAGTTTTAGATCGACTTTTTTTCCTCCCCGCAAACGGCAAACGTGACCACGTTTTCATAGTTTTCCTGTATTTTACTTTACCTTTTACAAACCTTCTCACCAAGCGCAAATACTCTTTTGTTTTTCTACTACTTGGACTTTTTTGCGATTCTTTTTCAGTAATTTAAAAGAATTTTTTAATGGTCAACTGACGTTTCACGTTTGCCGTGAACGTGAATCTAAAACTCTCGAATAGCTCGGGGGTGACGTCCTCAGKGGTGGATCTAGGGGAAAAGCAGCGAGGGATGCGCAACCCTCTAAATGAGCTGATATCTACTGTATCATTGGTGCTAGCGTTTGTAATTAATGTCCTGATTATAAAATGTGCACCCCTTCCAGATGTGGCCACGTTAAGGTTTGTTCTAAGAATGTTAACTTCGTGGATTAGATTTGATTTCTTGTAAATGTAAGGGAAGGTTTTCTAAGCTAGCGTAAGTATTAAAGGGAATGGAGAAAGGATTTGTTGATGAGAATTACAATTCGTCTTTCTTTGCAGCCTCTTCAGCACATTCTCTATCTTCGCCAACTTCTCCCTCTCCCTCCTTTGGAGTAACGAAACCCGTCTTCACCATAAGGAAAAGACTCCTCTCCTTCACCAACTTCTCTTTCTCCCTCCCCTGGAGGATTTGGGTAGACAGGAATAGGTTACTCAAAAATAGAAAGTTTCACTATCCTATATTCTATTGTGTTGGAAAAAAAAAAAAAAAAAAA